TATTTCGTTATACTGCTCGGCCACATACATTTATACACATATTGCTGAATGTGCTTGTGAACACGTGTGATAAAATAATTCCCGAGCAAACGGTTCAATCCGATTCGTTCTCGTTTGAGTGCTGAACCGAACCAGTGCAAACGTGATATTGATAAAATAGTAATATTGTTGTTGTTTTTTTCACTTTACCAGCGAAAATATTACATGTATCTGACTTTAACAATACGAATAAGGTTCGCTTGAAGTGTTTTGAGAATTAATATTTTTTTCTCCCAGAGTTCATTTCACACCAACAAGCAAATATAATGGCGAATGAGAAAAGCCAGATCATATCATAAATATTGCGTTTAATATGTCACGAAATGAAGTTTTAACGGGTTTTCATGCGAGAATATAGTTCTTCCAAACTCAAATCTGTGGTTTGTTTATAGATATCATGACTACTTTTAAGTGTGCTTTGCCGATAGGGGAGATTCTGACCTCCAGGGGTTGACGGCGCTCCATCACTCATGTATCCGGCAAACCTCATGCTTTAATCGGCCTAGACATTACATGCCCCTGTCTTCGATGACTAGATAATAAATGTGTTATGAAATAAAGTTTTAACCGTTTTTCATGCGAGAATGTTGTTGTTTTAAACTCAATTCTGTGGTTTATTTATTAAGATAGTGCGTATTTTAAAATGTTGTTTTGAAAATGCGGAGATATGTGCCCTCTACGGTGGCCCATATGGGTGCCCAATATTCTTGAATCCGTCTAAAGCAGGTTGGTCACTCTGACATTTAAGCTGACTTTGAAATCATTTTGTGTTTAACAGCCCTTGGTTACGTGAATCAATTATTTTTGTTCCAATTTACGTTTTGGTTTAGCACAAAGTTATGTTTATTAAATATTATTTCATATTTCCATGTTACCTTATAAAATGAAGGTGCAGTGCACCCAAAAATGGAAAACCAGGGGACAGTTTAATGCACTGAACAGTCTGAAGAAACTGGTTAGGTTATTTACTTCACAAAATAATTTGTCTAAAAATAAGTAAACATAATAATCATAATATATAGTGTGTGTGGAGTTGTTCTTGGTCATTTGCAGTACTGTATTTAGATGCACAGTAACTGATTTTTCCCCAAAATGCATTGTAAAATCTACAGTAACATACTGTTAACCATGTTCACAGTATAGAAAAGTTGAAAATACATTATTATACTGTGAAAACAACAATATATACAGTAACACACTGTGCACAGCTTATACAGTAAAAAACTGTTGAGAAATGCAGTATAATACTGTGAAAACAACAGAAATCGTTTACAGTGTACGCTGTGAAACCAAACAGTCAACTTTATCAAATGAAATGGGTGTGGTTAACTCAGAATTGACTGAAAGTTCATTTGACTCATTTTAAAAGAGTTTTGAACTCAGTGTTGAAGGTAAAGATTTAATTAAATAGGGCTAAGTTTACAGTACTCATATAGATTATAGTTTTTAACTCAAATGGTTTGTTGCAATCAGTTTCCTCAAATGGTTTGAGTTGGGTTAACCTATTGGGTTTTACAGTAACCATTGGTTTGAGTTCTCTTCGTTTATCAGGTTTCACTGTGCTCAAATTGCTTGTTTTCCTCAAATAGATTAGATTCACAGTACTCATTTGGATTAGTTTTTAAACTTAAATGGTGAGTTGCAATCGGTTTCCTCAAATTGTTTGTGTTACCTTAACTTTTTGGGTTTTACAGTGAATGGAAGTCAATGATTGCAGATTTTTAGCATTTTTAAAACCAACTTTTTGCATTTAACAAAAAAAAAGAACTCAAACTGGCTTGCGAAAAGCGAATATGATATGATGTTAATATGATATGTTGTTGAATATGAATGACAACAACATAAAGCTGTGGGTACACTAACCATTTAAACATCTTTAATTAGCACCAAATATATAAAAATGTCCACTAAGGAGACCAAAAAAAAAAAAGAGAAATCAATGCCAAACATCTCTGGTTTCACCAAACCTACCCTGCTGGGTATCTTTGGGACATGTTAAGCCTTCCAACAAACTTAATGACTCCACTCCATCCCCAACAGCCTTGCCAAATAACCAAGTAGGCTAAAAGTGAGTTGGCTGGTAAAATCATTAAGAGTCAAAGGGGTTGTTGGTTCTGGTGGGCAGGTGGAGGGGGGCAGGTTCTTAGAGAAGGTGCTTCTAGATGGCAGGGGTGAGTCCTGATGACAGCTGAAGAGCTACAACTCAAGAGGGTCAGAGAAAGCGGGCCCAAGCAGGGGGTCGAGAAGGCTGAATGAATTTCTCTACGTTACTGGCCCTCCTCTGGGGGTGGGGAAAGTGCCAGCAGGACATATTTAGATGGGAGAGAGAGGGAAAAAGTCACTGTGTGAGGTAACAGGCATCAGCAGCTGAGCTCTTCTTTAGACTTCCAGACTCCACTAATTTGCTTTCCCAAGAGTCCGGGATGGGATGAACAAAGAGCGTTTAGTCACTAATTGTCACTAGATCAGCTTTCAATCACTTGACAGTTTGATTTCTCTTGGCCTCCCGTCATTTCTCATACTGTCTTCACTTTGCTCACTATAACTTCCATGTATACCATGATGACGGAGACTGACGAATATGGATGCTGGAAGAGTTTCACTCGACGTCTCTCCATGCTCAGATGACCCATAACTGAGAAAACCCCTGGGCTTCCAGGACATAAATGATTGGTCTGATGAAACAATTTGAATGCAGTGTGTGATAATTTTTAGCTTTAAAATAATTTAAATAGACATGGTAGACCTGGACACATCCGTTCAATGGTTTTACTGTAGCGGTTAAAATCTGCTTCAGCAAATTCTTTGATGTTACTACTTCCCATAAAAGAGAAAAATAGTACATGAATTAGAAAACGTTTATAAGTAGATGCCAAATTTGACCGCTCTGGTCATGTTGACAAATCAATAGATGTATCATTGCCTAAAGCAAAAATAAAATAGGTATTCCAATATGCTACAATACTGCACTTGCTCTGGATGTATGCAAAAAAGCTGATGTTGAACTTAATTCATTTCTATTGTCTTTACCAACAGTGATTCTTACAGTAGTTCCATGGACATTAAAGTTGCAATGTGATTGGTTATGAAAGGAGCACATGATCCATGTCATCTGCTTCGCGTTCTCCAATGGTAAGTGTTACAGATTCGCATCTCCCAATAGTAGTAAAAAAAAAAACAATTCTGTAGCAGCCCGGAGAACACCTGCTGTGTATGTGATGTAGGACTTATTTTTATTAATATTGATTGTGTTCAGTACTTTGTGAAACTTTGTGTTGTAAAAAATGTGCTATCTAAATAAACTAACTTACTAACTAACTGGAAACTAATGAGGCAGATAGGGCAAAATTATTAGCCCTGTGAAAATGTAATTGTTTTTCAAATATTTCTTAAGTGCTGTGTAACAAAGAAGGTAAAAAAAAAAAAAAAAAGATTCATTTATTTTGTCTTTATCATGATGACAGTACATACTATTTTACTAATTATTTTACAAGATACTGGCATTCAGATTATTATTTTTTTATTGATTGTTAACTAGGCAAGATTAATAAAGGTTAATTGGGCAAGCCATTGGACAACAGAGGTTTGTTGTAGCCAATCAAAAAAAAAAATCCTAAAGGGGGCTAATAATATTGAACCTTCTTCATCCAAAAGAAAATATATATAATAGGAAAATGTTTTGTAGTAACTTCTTGTCTGGTTTTTGTCATGTCAGTTTCACTGAAGGGACAACATACCAGGGGAGTCTTTATTTTGGAGAAAGTGGTCAGATTCTAGCCACCTGTCCTGATATTTTTAGCCATCAGCTGGAGTCATTCCCCATTCTTTAAAACATTACTGTGAGGATGTAAGCATTTAGTTAGAAATAATTTAATGACGCCATTATTAGTTTATCTAAAGCAATATTTTTTTGTAACCCTGTTTAAGGGTAATGACAATAGATAGCTTATATATGGCTAAAAATATAATGGATAATACTATATAGCTAAAAAAAAAATAATATACCTTTCTCAGTTTATTTGGATTTAAGCTATACTGAATTTATGTAATGGGTTTTTGAGGAAAAAAAGTTGGCTAAATTTTATAAAGTTTTATAAAGGTCTGTAAACTTTTTTTGCAAATTCCAAATAATAAAAACATGTGACAAAAGGGTCAAAATGTTTTTGTTTTTCTTTTGGTTTTATCATTCTGTATCTGTTTTTTAACATCTTTTGAAATAAAGAATATGAATATTATATTGTCTGAAAATGAATACATTTTGTTATTTTATAATTACTTATTGTAGATAATCATAATGTTTATGTTTCATCAACCTGGTAATCTTTTTTTTATTTTATTTATTTATTTTTTAATTGTCAATGGTTGCATAGATAGTCTTATAGTCATAGCCTGATATTATTTACACTTTTTACAGCGCCATATGTTTAAATCAGTGCATGACTTCACTGTTTATTTTTTGAAAGCAAGTGTAAAGTATTAATCCTAAACAGACAACACTCGCATTACATTCATGAGTTCTCCACAGAAACATACCCTAAAATGCTATAGGTTGTTTAAACCCAGCGTTGGGTCAAATATGAATAAACTCAACAGTTTGGTTAAAATGCCATCAAAATTTAATTTCAAAATGAGGCTATATGTTTGTCCATACGTGACTCAATGTTGGGTAAAACCCCAGCATAAGCAAAACAAATGAGTTATCAATATAACATTCAAAACCTTAAAGATAATTCGCGGTCTCCCCTTGAAAGTGAAATGACATTTACGACCCTTCCGTGTGCCCGTGCGAGCCCTTTCTCCATTTGAGGCGCACGAACCCTCCCCTCTTTGAGCAGCGACCCAATCCGCTTGAGTATCAGCCTGACATCAACTCTGAAGAAACTTATACGAGTATATAAACATCTATACTTTCCTTGAGAATGCTGAGTTTCCTCCAAGCTGTGGTCCACTCCCTGTGTCGTGTTCCTTCCCGGCGGACAAATAGACTAAAAAATGGCACCTAAGAAGGACGCTAAGAAGCCCGAGCCCCCCAAGAAGGCAGAGCCCGCACCTGCCCCAGCTCCCGCGCCCGAGCCCCCTAAAGCCGACGCAGTTGACCTGTCCGGTGTGAAGGTAACAATCATACCTGTTAACTATTTACAGACACACTCGCACTGAAATGTTTATTGAATCTCTTTAGTCATTAATGCTTTTCAATAAACGTTAGGCATTTAAAAATGTCATGAATCGTCTAGCTCTAGTCGGTGACTATTTATATTTACAGTTTTAAAGTTTTTTTTAAAGCGTGTTTTCACCTGAATTTCATTGAGGATCATTTTTGATTTTTTTTTTAAATTCAGTGTTCATATCATATTCATTTTACTGATTTACAGTAAACATTAGACGTTTAAAAGAAGTGCATATCATGTCTTAATTGCGTCTGTCGGTATAATAGACGTCGTTTGGACGTCCATCAGACGTGTGACAAAGTTCATTATGGAATCTTCAATGCCAATAACACCTTTATTGTGAAGAGAGAGTGTGTGATGGATTCCATGCATTTGCGAATGAAGAGTTCCATAATATTTGTATTTCTGTAAAGCATCTAATATTTATTTAACTTAAGTATAAAAATTACATTAGTTACACTCATTAATAGTGTCTCTTAAACTCCAAAAATTGTAAATTTCAAGACAAATTTGGGTAAAACATGGACACACTCAACTGATGGGCTAAACTATATAATACAATCTCAATGCCAACTTTAACTCAGTGGTTAACTTCACCTATATTTTATCCAAGTTTAGGTTAAATACCCATTTTTACACAATTACAATAACAAAATGCAGAGCCATTACAAAAGAAGTTACTTATATATTTAATCATTTATTCATAATAAATTATGTTTTTATTAACTTCTACTAAGCTGCCCAATATTGTTTTGTAGTCTAAAAAATGTCTAATATTGGCTCACTCAGCACCATGGATAGCTCCACATAACTTCCATTTTTTTCTGCATAATTACAATCAATGCCACACCCCTTTTCTGATTGGCCCAGATCTGGAGAAGGTTGACATGGCCAAAAATGGAGCTCCTTACTGTTCTAAGCAGCTGAGAGACTAAATTAAGCTTCCTAAGATCTGTGACTCTCCCTCTATAGTTTTGTAGTAAAGCAGCTGTTTGTGAATGACTCACCTGTCATAGCGGTGTTAATGATGTGATGGGCTTTCTCATGTCCTGAAGCTTATTCCACGTCACCAGTAATGCTGAACTATGCAGAACAAAATGAACTTGCATCAATGATGAAGAATCTTTAAACTGACAAAACTGCTTTGACTCAAAATTTAGATGACATAGAACATACCTGACCACTTATTCTGTATATCATATCCAGTATAAGTCTTAATATACAAATATTCTAGAATGGAATGAAATTAAATGTTCCCAATATTGTTTGTGGAAGAAAATAACAGCTCTTTTATACAGTTTGCATCCTTAAATCTCATTCAAATTGAGCTGTCATGAACGTTTCAATGAACATGATCTACTGATGTGATGTTATATCATGTTTGGTACTGACTTATGGCATAAATAAAACATAACTCTGTTTTCCTGCAGCTCGATTTCACCCAGGACCAGATGGAAGGTAAGATTATTTGTCCTTTGACACAATCTTCCATGTACATATAAACGTAAACAGGATGCTGTGCTTAAAATAATGTAAAAATAAAAATAATAAAATAAAATCACACAAAATAAGTCACATATTAAAATTCCTAACTAAATATAATCTACTTCTAGGCTTGAATTCAGTGCCACACTCAAAAAATACAGCATTGTTTAACCCCAAATTTGGTTACAATATGGACAAACCCAACTGGGTTAAATGCATTCTAAACAAATTCAGATCAAAATAACCTAGACCTTTTAATTAAATCAAAGCTTAAAACCCATTAAATGATTTTACATAAGTGAGTTGTGTCAGATTCCTGAAGTGTTCTGGGATTCACTTCCATTATGCCATGAAGGTCAAACAATTCAATGCAACTTCACAGTTAATTTGCACCATTGTCCAGAAATTGCACCATTACGAGAAAGAATGTGTCCGCTTCTTAGTGTTGAGCAGCTTTCAGCAACCTGGGTGTGAGTTACTCTGCAGTCAGCATTCTGGCCTCACATGGCACTGCCTTTATATGGAGGGAGATATATTCTTGGGAGAGTGTATCAATTGCAAGTCGACTCTTTGAATGTCTTCACTGGTGGCAGCTGGCTTTTAGCGGAAATCAGATGAAGCCATTAATCTTATAGCATATCGTCTTCCAGTGAGGCAGAACCCTCAGCCATGACGTTCATAGAAACCCTGTGCACTAATTATTACACAGTCTGCTCAGTTTTAGGTCTAAATGATTAATAGGCAGTGGTTATAACGTGTTATTCTGTTAATATGAGAGATTGAAATAAAATGCACCATACTAGTGAGGATCCTCAATGTACAGTTGATGTCTGAATTATTAGCCCCCTTTGAATTATTATTTTTTTCTTTTTTAAATATTTTTCAAATTATGTTTACCAGAGCAAGGACATTTTCACTGGATGTCTGATAATATTTTTTCTTCTAGAAAAAGTCTTACTTGTTTTTAGAATAAAATCAGTTCATAATTTTTTTAAAAACATTTTAAGGTCTAAATTATTAGCCCCCTTAAGCTATAATATTTTTTTCGATAGTCTACAGAACAAACCATCATTATACAATAACTTGCCTAATTACCCTTACTTGCCTAGTCAACCTAAATAACTTAGTTAAGCCTTTAAATGTCACTTAAAGCTGTATAGAAGTGTCTTGAAAAATATCTAGTCAAATATTATTTACTGTCATCATGACAAAGACAAAATATTGTATCGAATTATTAAAACTATTGTGTTTAAAAATGTGTTGAATTTTTTTTTCTCTCCATTAAATAGAAAATGGGAGAAAAAAATAAACAGGGGGGCTAATAATTTTGACATCAACTGTAGATACTGTACACATTGAACTACAAATGGACATACTAAACAATAACTACATATTTTTTGTTTGTTTATTTGCTTGTTTTTAAATCATAAGTAAATCATACATAATATAACTTGACCTGTGGCAGACTGGTTTGTATTAATATAGACCAGGGTTGTCCAAACTCTTTCCAGGAGGGCCAGTGTCCAGGAGAGTTTAGCTCCAACCCTTATCAAACACACCTGAACCAGCTAATCAAGCTCTCAAGAGTAGAAACTTCCTGGCTGGTGTGTTGAAGCAAGTTGGAGCTAAACTCAGCAGGACACCGGCCCTCCAGGACCGAGTTTGGACAGCCCTGATATAGACAGATACACTGAATAATTATTGTAAAAATGTCAACAAAAACGTTAACAAACCTTTAACTAAGACTTTTAGCTCAATAAACAAGTAATTTGTTGCCTATTTTTGCAAGGTGGAAGATGGGTTTATGTATTGGGTAATGGTATGTAGAATCAATGGATTTACTCTTCAATGTTTGGACATTCAGCAGTGAAAATTACACCACACTGAACTCAACTAAACTAAACTTCAACTCTAAAAACTAAAGTGACGCAGTTTCAATTTACTAGAACTTCTATATTTAGCTGCTTTGACAAAATGTACATCGTAAAAGCATTATAGAAGTAAACATGAATTGAATTGAATAATATATGTACAGTTGAAGTCAGAATTATTAGCACCCCGGTTTATTTTTTCCAGAATTTCTGTTTAACGGAAAGAATATTTTTTTAACACATTTATAAACATAATAGTTTTAATAACTAATTTCTAATAACTAATATATTTTATCTTTGCCATGATGACAGTACATAATATTTGACTAGGTATTTTTAAAGACACTTCTATACAGCTTAAAGTGATAGGGTGTAGGCAAGTTATTGTGCAGCGATGGTTTGTTTTGTAGACTATAGAAAAAAATATAGTTTAAAGGAGCTAATAATTTTGACCTTAAAATTATAAAAAAAATAATAAAACAGCTATTATTCTAGTCGAAATAAAACAAAAAAAGACTTTCTCCAGAAGAAAAAATATTATCAGACATATTGTGAAAATGTCCTTGCTCTGTTAAACATCATTTAGGAAATGTTTAAAAAAAAAAAATTCAAAGGGGGGCTAATAATTCTGACTTTAGCTGTATATGTAAGAATATAAGTACTAATATATAGAAAATAAGCACTGATAAAGTGCCACAACTTTAGTAATAGACAGTTAATAAGCCAGTAATTAATAGTGGGAACTATTAAAAATTATTTTAATAACCGTTTACTTGAAAGCTCTTTGGGTAATAAAAATATGTCTATCGTATCTTTCATTTAAGGTTTATTGTATTAGATGTTCATGAAACTTTATTAAGATGAGGAAAAAATGCAGTAAACCAATCAATTTTGGTCACTCTTTATTTTATTGTACAGTTCACACTATAAACAAACCATTAACTTTTAGCTGCTTATTAATAGTTATTAAGGTAGTAGTTGGGTTTAGGATGTCTGGCAGGACAAGGGATGTAAAATAAACTTATACTTACAAGTGCTAAAAAAACAGTTAATATCATAGTATTTAACAGGTAGTAAAGACAGTAGTACTGTAAATTGTTAAATAAGCTAAAGTTAGCAAAATTTTAAATATAAAATATCCAAAATCATTTAAAAGTATCTAATATAGCACTAATATTAGTTTGCACTGCCAAGGAGCATTACAGAAAAAGAAAAATCCTATTGAAATAGAAGATCATTGTCTTCACGGTTGGTTTGATTTGCAGGTTTTGAATGAGGAAGTTGCTTGAAATTGTTCAGAGAAATGACACATTTCACCTTTAACTAAAACAATCTACCTTTTTCCAGATTACAGGGAGGCTTTCTTACTTTTCGACAGAGTTGGTGACAGCAAAGTAGCCTACAACCAGATTGCAGATATTATGCGTGCACTGGGACAGAACCCAACCAACAAAGAGGTTACAAAGATCTTGGGCAACCCCACCGCTGATGGTAAGGGAATTTTTCCTTCCTTCTAACATTTTAATGAGCTACCCTGAAAGAATCTCTACATCAGCATTAACACTGTCAAGATCTTTCAACATGACATGTTTTTAGAATCTTTTTTTTTTTTTTTTACTAATTGGCAGAAGGCTGGTGTCATGACAGGTGCTTGCAGCATTATGTTTCACATCATCTGCACTCTGTGACCTTTCCTTTCCCTTTTGACCCCGTTTGCAGATATGGTAAACAAGAGAGTGGACTTTGAGGGTTTCCTGCCTATGCTGCAGGTTGTGATCAACAACCCAAACAAGGCAACATACGACGACTACGTTGAGGGTCTGCGTGTATTCGATAAGGAGGGCAATGGAACAGTGATGGGTGCTGAGCTGCGTATCGTCTTGTCAACACTTGGTAAGTGGCAAAACTAACAGGTTGAAAGCTTTAACTAGTGAAGCCCTTCTCGTTCTATCCGATCTAAATCTCACTACAATCTGAGTCAGTACAACACTGCTTCGAGTCTACAATTTAGTGTGCCTATTGAGACCAAGGGATTTAAGTAAATTCTCACATCTTCTACTTGTTAGCCTATATTAGGGTTGTCAAAAGTATCGAGTTCGGTACCAATCGGTACTGAAATTTAAAAAAACATCCATTTTCCCATAACATCTGAGAGCCGTTAAGCACATTGTTAAACACAAGCCATTGTGTTCACATTCTCAACAGAAATTGGCCATGAAGGTTTACCACTTTTCACAGAAAGCAAACACGGATACACAAACACTGCAGAGTTTTAAAGTTGCGTCAATCAGCTGGTCTGTCTATGAGCTGACAAATGAGCGATCCGCTGATGGATCGACTGATCTACAAGGCTTTGAAATGCTCCAGTGTCCGCGTATCTCTGCTTGCACTCGGTAAACAGCAGTGATGAATGGTGAACTGATGACCTTCATGGCCAATCACAGTCATTTCTGCTGAGCATTTGAACACAACAACCAATCAGTGGTGTTTAAGGACGTGCTCACAGCAATGAAATGTTAGCAGGAAAGTGACGTTTTTAAAATTTCAGTATCGATTGGTACCGAACTCAATACTTTTGAAAACTCTAGCCTATATTACACTCTCCCCAGTAAACATCACTCCCATTAGCATTATGCCACCAACACATCTCCTACTTGATGTAATTGCACCAATGTAATTCTATAGCTTGCCTCATGAGACCAGGGCAATGAGGTCTATTTGTTCATCTACTAGCTGGACTCTACTACACTCGCCCATTCAAATTCAACCTCTTTAACGCAGTTCTTGAGTACAAGTGATTCTAAGAACCTTGATCAGCTTCATCAGTCGTGTTTACTTAAGTCTCAAGCTAAACTTTGTAGGAAAGTGGTTGTGTGGTGGATATTGCACACTTCCCTACTATATAGTATGTGAAAAATGGATATGAGCCAATCAGTATGTACAAATTAATAGTATTAAAAAAACAACAGGTGAGATGTACCTGGATGCCCTAGTACTGTACATTCAATGGACACTGAACTCTTCCATGAGGCCACAAGAAAGAATTTATGAATGGGAGAGAAGAAACGCAACTGATTTGGGTAACCCATGTAATAATGCCAATATGACAGATGTCCGAATTCCTTTCATACTACCTACATTTAAAAAGAATACATTTATTTTAACGTCAAGGAGTACATTAAATTTCAAATGTAGTACCTACCTGAGTTTTGGATTCACTTTTTAATTACAGGAGCAGTGTTAAAAACATTAGTTATAATCCTTGCTCCTATTTATGTCACAGTACCAACATAACCATACCTGCCAACACTCCCATTTTTCTTGGGAGTCTCCCATGCTTCAGACCCGTCTCCTGCCACCCTCCCGTTTTGTTATTTCTCCTGGAAAACTCCTGTAATTTCACTCCACCTCAAGTCCTCATCTTTTTGGTACAGTGTGTAACACCCCCGGGTCACCAACATTGGTATATCCGATCGCAGCAGCCTCCCGAAACCCAATCCATAATAGTACAGTTAATTACACCACAGTGCAGTTACTATGCTATATACTACTGTGTTATTCAGACTAACACACATCACCACCAAGACCCCCCCCCCCACCAGCCCATTCCTTCCCTGGTCTCCCGGCATTTCAGAGACAAATGTTGGCAGGTAAGAACATAATCCCCCTGTTTCTACCCATTAAAATGGCCTCAACTATACTCGGCCGCACAAAACCTCGCTCTAACCATAAAACCCGTACAGCTCGACTTAAATTGCTCACTTCGATAAGGATTCAGGACATGAGATATTTATGGCATGGGAGGCTAGTGCGCTAACGAGGAACGCTAAAGAGAGTGGCATCCAATATGAATTTCTATTGTGACTTTTGAGGTCAAGGGAGCGAAGTTTACTCCCACAGAGCATACAGTATACACTCATACCTAGGGCCAGACGGAATCTGCGGATGTTTTTTGCTATTTCTGCGGAGAATTTTGGTAAAAATCTGAGGATTTCTGCGGAATTATTTTGGGAGTATCCAGCAGATTATCATAACTTACACTTTAATATATTAAATAAAAAGTAATAAATCACTGAATAAAAACTGAATAAATTCGGATTTACACATTTACTCAAGTTAATAAAAAGAATTTATAATGGGCTAAAAAACTGCGGCATTCTGGGGAAAATCTGTGCGCACAGATTCCGTGTGGGCCTACTCATACCCTCTGGTTCTACTGACACTGCAACAAGTAGGATTCTGCAGTGTTTGAAAATGGAAGGGTTACTGTAAATTCATTTATCCATGCATTAATGATTCCATAAGGAAGTTCCAAAATTCTGATTCTACATATGTTTTAATACAAACTACAGTCTTTTTAGCAGGAAAAAATAAATATGGTCTCAGCTCACAGCTAATATCATTACATGCATACACATATGAACAATTTTAAGTCATTCTGTTGCATTAGTCTTTCAGCTTTTTTGATGGATTGACCAATTCATCCTTTCTGTTTTTCCTTCAGGTGAGAAAATGAGTGAAGCCGAGATTGATGCTCTAATGCAAGGCCAGGAGGATGAAAACGGCTGTGTCAACTATGAGGGTCAGTCCAGATTTTTTCATTGTCTGAATTCACTTTTATACAGTAATGCCGGCTTCCAATCTGTTCAACGTAGGCTCACTCTGAAAACGTAGCCCTATATATGTTTCTGGAGATCACAAATTATGTAGCCTGCAGTACGTATGGCTTCATTTAGTCTTTGAAATGAACGCTACGGGACGGTATGACACCTTTTCTTTTCGCGCTTACCAGCTGACCGCTTAACTTTGTATGGACGACTTTCCTGCTGTTACCAGTTTATCCAGTTAGCTCGCCATGTATGTCGGCGAACTTGAGACGCAGAGAGGAGCTGACCACGACAACTGGATTCGAGTCTGGCGAAGTACGGTTACAGAAAGCGGCAAAGACAAAAACAGAAGTCAAAAAATGTAATTAACAAGTAAATAAAAGGGTGAGAATGTGGTAAAAATCTAAAAAACGTAGTAAAAAAAAAATCAGACGGAGTCTTTTTTTTCTGGATTACTTTTTTGAAGTGGTTGGGTGGGTCAATCAGTGCTTTTGAAAACACTATTGGTTGGGTTTAGGGAAGGAGGGGATGGGTCAGTTGGTCGGTCGGTCAGTCAGTAGGGTTGGTCTATGTCAACCAATTCGGCATCATCTGATGTCTAATGTGAAACATCGCGATGGACGATGGCATCATTGTCATAGGCAGCGGTGATCTAATTATTTATGAATAATGAATTAATTCATAACAAATTATTTATTTGTAGCCTACCAATTCAACTACCTGATAAGCATGGTCTTGGTTTAACCCATAACCAATAAATAAAGATAAGTTACACACAAATTACCACTTGTCAATCCCACGTATTAGTGTAAATGCAGCGGTGTGCATTTTTCGCAAGCAGGTTGCTGCTGCGACCAGGGCGGGGCCGAGGATCGCGATGCCGGGTCAGCATCGTGAGGTCTATCGACCATCGCCGATGGCATCATGTATCGACCCAACCGTACCAGTTAGTCGACAACGGCCTCTGGTGGATTTACGCAAGACAGGCAGCCGCAAATAGCACCCGCTAGAGAAATTTAAGTCTCTCTAGAAGTTAATCTAGCACCCGCTAGAGAAATTTGAGATTTAAATCTCAAAAAAACGTACACAGCGGCCTCTGGTGGATTTGCGAAAACAAAAAACTTAGCTCCTAGGACGTGTTTGGTGCTTTTCGGAAATGTATAGAGGTACGCTTTCAGAATGAGCCTGGGTTGGATCCGTTTGACATAGGTGTAGTGGTTATTCACAAATAACAATAAGCAATCATTGTGGCGATGCAGTGGCGCAGTAGGTAGTGCTGTCGCCTCACAGCAAGGTCTTTGGTTTGAGGCTCGGCTCAGTTGGCGTTTCTGTGTAGAGTTTGCATGTTCTCCATGCGTTCGCGTGGGTTTCCTCCGGGTGCTCCAGTTTTCTCCACAGTCCAAAGACATGTAGTACAAGTGAATTGGTAGGCTAAATTGTCCAGTGTATGAGTGTGTGTGTATGAATGAGTGTGTGTGGATGTTTCCCAGAGATCGGTTGTGGCTGGAAGGGCATCCGCTGCGTAAAAACGTGCTGGATAAGTTGGCAGGTTATTCCTCTGTGGCGACCCCTGATTAATAAAGGGACTAAGCCAACAAGAAAATGAATGAATGAATGAATCATTTTGTGTCTTAATCGACAACAACATGACACATCAAGACAGACTAGCATGTTTACATTTTTTTGGTCCTCCACGATGGACATGGCATCTGACATTCACTGATGAGGTCTTCCATATACAGGTTTCATAAATGGTGAAACGACAGAAACATGATCAGTGCTGTTAGTTGGAATTATACAACTGACTCTCTTTTTAGGGCAGCTACTAAAATATATGCTGTCCGTGTTTAATGCCTATTATTAAGGACTTCTAAATGACTGTTTCTGAAAGTCAGTCACTAGTTTTGTCTTATTAATGACATATGTTCTATCATTTGTTTCTGGACCACATATTCTGACACAGAATCATTAAAAATGCTGTGTAGTTTGAACCTGGCATAAACAATGATCTATTTATAATTAATAATGACTATCTAACTATAATTAATAACACCACTGGGTCATCAGCTTTGGTATAGTATCTGATCACAGTGTCTACCTGAAACCCAGTCTATAGTACAGTTACTATACTAACCTAGTTCTCAACTGTGTTAATCCCCCACCCCTAGTTCTAGTGACATTGCAACATGTAAGAAATTGGAAGGGTTACTTTAAATTCACTTTACCCATGCTTTAATAAGAACGTTCCAAAATTCTGATTCTACATATTTAGAATGAACTATTAAACAATTAATAATGACTGACCACCTTTTAGAGTTCACATGTGCTTGTGCTCTGCAATTTTAAACCCACCTCATGTTTTCTGACTCTCTCCATTTTGAACAGCTTTCGTCAAACACATCATGTCTGTCTAAGTCGGAGCTGTGAGGAGACTGAAGCATTTCTCCAGATTCCATGATGTCAGGACATCCACACAATGTTTCCAAAACCAACTCAGAAACGGATGAAAGGGACACAGGATGTTAGTCATAAACAATTATTTTTTTTTTTTTTTTGTGTTTCCTATTTTTTTTTTCCACTTGAATCCTTTTTCTTTTGTCCATTCTTGGAATCCATTCATTTTTTTCCAGCTGATTTTCTTGGTGTTGTTCGTGCTGGGACAAGCCTCTCCGTAGCAGAGAAGTTGTGAGGGGTGAGGTGGGTCTGTTAGGGCGGGGCATCATGGTAACTCAAATATATAAAGCACTCCCTCTGACCTCTCGCTTTCTGCATCCCAAAGTCAAAGGTGCTAAATATACTGCCATCAATGGACTGGCTGCAAAACCTCCTTCCCCTTTCCCCAGAGTCTTAATTTATTTTTCGCCTCTGTCAATTCTCATAATAAACTTTTGACAAAGTATTAGCATTGTTGTGATTCATGTTTTCATACTGAGTGCACAGGGCTGAAGGTCAAGTGAAGAGTAAGTGGAACAGGTAGGTGCATGTGATCATTTAAATATAATACACATTATTACATTACAGAAATGCAAATGAATTTTTTTTTATTAACTTTGTTAAATTTGTTAATTTATTAACTTTTTAATAATTTAAGAAAATAAATAATCAAAATACTGATATTATTATTATTACTATAGTTAAAAATGAAATTATTTGGCCTTTTTTGTGACTCATTAATTTGAAAATAATTATTATTGGTTTATTTTATAATATTATTAAAATTTATTAATGTTATTTGTAAAGCAATGCTGTTGTTTATAATAAAACTTCATACTATTTTTTTTAGTTATAATAATATATTACAATATATATATATATATATCTTAATGCTTCAATTAACAATATATATTATATTTTTATATTATTTTGTATAATTGCTTAATATTGTAATAACATATTCCAATATATTGATCCTTCACAGTACTCGGAACTAAGCCAAAGCAAAATGACTCATTAGTTAATAATAATGTAGTCAATTTGTATTATTGTATGGTTATATTTTAAATGGTGCTTGTTTTTATTTTCTATGAATTAATCATGTTTTATATATTTAATACCCAACTTAATGTGTGCAATGTGCCTATGTATACAATTGTGTCTTAGGATCTTTACCCCAAGTCACAGATTTTTACTCACCCTTCACAAAAGCATTGTACACTACAGACACACACAAAAAAACCATCAAGACTTAAATACAACCAAACCCAAACTGATTAATCATCTACACAAAATCAACCACAAATCAGACCACGCTAACGTTTGGTTCATTTTCTGCTTTTTTTTATTGTCATAACTGTTAAGGGCATTTATAATCCGTATCATACCAACAGGAGAAAAACTGCGTACATCTATGTGGCCTTTTTAAATACATTTACAGCAGCTGAGGGAATGGGGGAAAGGGTGGATGGGTAAGGCTAAGAGGGGCCGAAAAACACAGAAGCCTACGAATGACAGCTGTTCTAGAGGAAAACGGGCAGGGAGAACCACAAATGACAAGGAGAAAAAATATACTGGAGTACTGTGTTCAAACTGATGCAAGCGCAGTGAGTATCCTTTTTTTTTTAAAGTATGGATTCACGTATTTCTTTTTCCATGTCCTAACAAAGAAAACTAAGCATCCAAGAAGGAATTAGCAGACAGACACAGGGCCAAAACTCCCAAGAGGAAAACGAGGGCCGCAGGACCACCATCCAACCCAATCCGCTTGTTAATCAGTGATGTCATGCGAAGCGGCTTCCGGGTGCAAGTGCTACAGTATATAAAACTGTGTTTGACTCATCAAATGGTAATATAAAACGTTTACAAAGAAATGTAATACTTTCGAAAATCGCAATATGGAGTTGAAACCAGAAGTTTACATACTAAAACAGGAACATAACCATTACAAAAAAAAACGTCTGATGGTAAATCATACTAAACGTTTACTATTTTAGGTCCGTTAGGATTACCTAAATGATTTACATTTACTAAATGCCAGAATAATGAGATTTTTTTTTTGGAGAAATTTTTTTTTTTTAGACAGTCAAAAGTTTACATACATTTCCTTGATATTTTTTTAGCTTTGCTTTTAAACTGTATGACTTTGGTCAAATGTTTTGGGTATCCTTTCACAAGCTTCTCACAATAGTTTGCAGGATTTTTGGCCCATTCCTCCTGACAAAACCGGTGTAACTGTGTCAGTCTTGCTCGCACAAGCTTTTTCAAATCTGCCCACAAATTTTCTATAGGTTTGAGCTCAGGGCTTTGTGATGGCCACTCCAAAACATTCACTCTGTTGTCCTTAAAGCACATTTTAACTAATGTGGCAGAATATCTAGAGTCATGGTCTGTTTGGAAGACCCATTTGTTGCCAAGTTTTAATTTTCTGGCTGATGTCTAGAGATGTTGCTTCATTATTTCTAGAAAATGTTATTTTAACTATGTATCCATGCCTAATATCAGATGGCCAGAAAGTGATATTTTTTTTTTTTATAAATGGTTACAGTTTTGGTATTTGTGATGCAGCAAGTCTGTTGTGTACGCTATGATTTTATAGAAAATTCACTTTAAGGTGTGATATGACTAAAAAGTGGTCATAAATGAATACGTTCTCAATTCAAACGAGTAGCTTGGACGCAGAAACAGTATTTCATACGTCACAACTTAACAAGCGGATTGAGTATTAAAGATGGCGGTTTATGGTTCAAGCAGAACTTGCGTGACTCCTGTTAACCTGTAGCCCTCGAACATTTAATATTGTGAAATCACTGTTTAGTGTAAATGTGCAGTCACATTTACTGTCGCTTGACGAAATTTTGCACGAGGTCGCAAAAAGCTCTCCAAGCAGATTTCACTCAAATTAGCTTCAGCATCGCTAACTTGACGTCAGTCGAAAAACTGCATAGCGACAAAGATCAGACGATTTTGTAACAACAGCAAAGCCAGGGGTGCATCATCTGAAATAATGTACAAGCTAAACATCGTCGCTAGTATCTACAAAACATGATGTTTTCATTTTATTCAACGTTTCGGCATATAACTTACTAAAATCCCTTGAAATAGAAAATAGCCTCTTTTGTGTACTAGAATACATGCTCGTCATACTATCTACTAGGGTTGTTGTTTTTAATGCGATTGCATTACAGTATATGCTATCGAAGGAATAATCATTTCTTCTTTTTTTCAATTGAGCGTGAGATGTTGCGCTGGTATATTTATAAATATATTGTATATTTGATTGCAGTTTGATGTTTTGGAGTCCATGCACTGAATGGGCAAATAAACACGTGCATCATGGGATTATTCTTGCGTAATTAAAAAAAAAAATTCAGATCAACCGACTTTTTTTTTTAGACGCAGCACACAGCCTAAACCAGCATTTGAGGCCACTGTCTGTACACAACCATAAAAAGTCACATTTAACATGGGTAATAAAAAGCACTGGTACCTCTCTAGCTAATTCATTAAAATGAACAAAACTCAAAATAAAAATCATCTTGTTTTTTTTAGATAGTCAAGACAGGGCTTTGTTGGCGGATGAAGAGGGAATAGTGTGAATAAGTGAATCTGTAGTGTTCCATAAATACCAGAGGGAGGAAGGAAAGGGTCAACCGTGACACCACTGAGGAGGGAAACTACTGTAGATTTTGAGGATTCACAAGCCTTGTTTGGCCAGCGCGGCGGTCACATCTTCTGCTAGCGTGGCCAGCTGTGGTGACTCGTGCATGTTGATGCTCCCGGATGAGGACATGTGGCTGTGTCGGTGAGGGGACGTCCCGCCGGACAGCCCGAGCGTCTCGATCACAATCTCCGCTCCGTGATCCACACGCGCTTTGGCAGCGTCGCGGAAGGAGAGCTTATGGCTTTCAATCTTCAAAAGTAAAAAATAGGATTATGTGACGTGATTGTGAAAAAACAAGCAAACATATGTTTATCAAGAACTGACCTGGATTTGACCTCCTCCAGGTGTATGGTGGGCATTATCCAGGGAGCCCACTTTGGCGTGGGCTTTTTCTCTGAAGTCCAGCTTCACGCTCTCAATGCGGACATGACCACCGCCTGAGACATATGAAAAAAATAAATCACGACAAATTTCTCATCACCTAGTTAGTGCACTGTTAGTGCTAAATTTTATTATATAATAAGATTTTTATAAAAGCACTAGGCCTGCTATAATTAAAAAAAAATCAGACAATAATTAATTCATTAATTATAGATATTAATGTTGCTTTTTTATTTTAAAAAATGTAAAATCGAGGATGCACCAACATTGACTAATTTTGATTTTTTTAAAAAGAGGAATTATGTTCAGTTTAAACTTTTGTTCTGAGTTTTTTCTTTGAGAGTTAATTGTTTAATTATTATTACTTTTGATTATTATTATTATTATTATTATTATTATTAAATATTAGATTTATTGACTGATTTTTAAAGAGTCATTCTTTACATTTACCAAATCAACTGTGGGGATTAAGTCAAAATCAATCAATCACTCAATCAATCAATCAATTCATCATTAAATTAATTAATTCATTTATGTATCAAATATTTATAAAGTTTCACGTGATCCTTCAGAAACAATTCAAATTGTCTTTTCAAGAAACATGTCTTATTACTATCAGTGTTGGAAGTGTTATCAGTTTGTTATCAAGATATTCTGTGCGACACTGTTTCAGAATTATTTGAGGAATATAAATTCTAAATAACAGCAATTATTTAAAGTGTTGGTTTTCTGTACCAAAATAAATGTCTTAAATGTCACTTTTGATTAATTAATTTATCCTTATTTAATAAAAGAGTAATAATAAAATACTGATTCCAAACATTTGAACAGTACAAATGTATAGGCTATTTATCTAAAAAGTACAAAAAGTTCTTTGAAATATACTGTTCTTGTAATATATAAGTATATATTGTTAGTAATGTATTTTAAAAAAAGAAAAAAATACAGATGTCACAGTGAACTGATGATTTTCACTTTGTAAATCTGCATGCACAAATGAACAAGTGCAACATTTAAATTAGATTTTGCAGAAGAGATAATTAAAACACAACCACTAGATGGTGGTCTTGCATCATTCAACAGTCTATTTCTGGCACAGCTCATTTCCACAGCAAGCTGTATGACACTGCAAATCTCCAGTCTGTGTGCAAAATGTCCAGCACTCTCTATCACGCTCACCTGGCCTGTGGCGGATGTTGTCCAATGATCCACACTTGGAGGTCACATGACTAAGATCAATCTTCTTAGACTGAATGTGAATCTGTAAGAAACAGCCAAAGATGAGAACAGAATAAAACAAAACCGGGATGAGAGTCAACCATTTGTTCTTCATATAAGAAGCTGCAAAGAAAATGGTTTTGCCTATAAAACAAACATAATTAATGCGTTAAATGGTTAAGAAGGCACTGTAAAACAGTTAG